GCCGCGCTGCAGCGTCGCCGCTAGGCTCTGGCGCGCCGTCGCCAGCGCCGTGGCGTCGCCGCGCGCCCAGGTGCGCAGGAGCGCCTGCGCCTCGGGCCACGCGCGGCCCATGGCCTCGAGCGCGAAGGCAGTCGGCGCTTGGCCAGGGCAGCGCCGGTGTTTGCGCTCCTCCGCAGCAGCCGCGGCCGCGCCGTCCCGGACAGCGCGGCCCCTGCCCGCTGGCGCGTCTGCGCCAAGGGCGGCGTCCGTGACCACCACGTCGACGTAAGTCGTGCCGGCCGTGGGGTCAGTGAAGGCTACGTCGAGGCGGGCTGCCTCGACTGTGCCATGTGGGCGCGCCCTGTCCCAGGCGGGCACAAATTGCTCCGTGCTCGCGCCTGTCGCGCCTCGGGCGCGCAGCCAGCCGGCGAGCCAGTCCGCGACCCCGTCGTGGCGCTTGGTCGTGCCGCCGCCGACGCGGCAGCCCAGGCAGTGCCCTGGTGTCGCGGCCAGGTCAGCCCCGCAGCGCGAGCCGTCCTCCCGGCGCCGGAGGCAGGTGGGGTTGGCAGCCGCAGGCAGGGGCAGCTGCAGGCGCAGCGCCAGGGCAGGGAGGAAGTGCGCGTCCGCCAGCACGTGGTCCTCCTCTGTCGGCGGCAGGAACCAGCTTCCCGCGACCTTCCCGCTGGCCGAGCGGAGCAGCGCTGCCTGTGTAGGCGGCAAGGCGCCCAGGAGCCGCTGCCGGCGCGCGTGCTGCTCTGGCGCTGCGAGGGCCCGCTGCGCCTTGGCCTTGGGCTCTGCGGCGGCGCAAACCCAGTCCGTGCCGCGCGCCGATAGCGCGCGGCCCGCGCTCTCGGCCGCCCCCCGCGCCGTCGGGCAAGCCTGTTGGAAGGCCTCGAGGCTAGGTAGGCTGAGCTCGCGGCAGACGCCAGCCAAGCACGCCTGCCAGGCCCCCGCGAAGGCAGGCAGCCTGCGGTGCGCGAGGCCCTGGAGCCCTACCCCGCCGTCGGCCGTTGGCAGGAAGGCCAAGTCGCGCGCGAGAGCAGGCAGCGCCTGGTGCCCGGTGAGCGGTGTCAGGACCTCGCGCAGGTGGCTGAGAACCGCCTCGTCGTAGCTGCGACACCAAGCCTTGTCCAGCAAGTGCGCCCTCGCGTGGTGCAGGGCCGCGCCGTTGGCGAAAGTGCGGAGCAGCACGAGCTCGTCTTGGGCACGCAGACCGTGCGCTCTGAGCTGGCGGAGAGCGGCGAGGTAAGCGTCGAGGTGGTCCCGGGCCTTCTGCGGGGCGGTCGCCGGCGAGAAGCTCGCCCTCGCGGGGTCGGCGTCCTGGTCCTCCTCTGCCCCCGCGGCGTTGCGCACGTAGGGGAGGGTGCTTCCTACGCACGTCAGCTCGGGCACCTCCGCCCTGGCCAGTGGCCCTGGGAGGTCCAAGGCGCGCGGGTTCCAGACCTTCGTCTTCCGCGCGTTCAAGCGGAGGCCCCGCGCCGAGAAAAGCGCCGGCGCTGCGAGGAGCGCTGCTGCCAGTGCGCGCGGGCTGCCAACGACGTACACGTCGTCGAGGTAGGCCACCACCCTGGCCTCGGGGTCCACGTGGCGCGCCGCCGCCGCCAGGCTCTCGTAAAGCGTCGCCGTCGCCACGGCGAAGAACGCCGGGGAGAGGGGGCAACCCTGGTCAATCCCGCGCTCCGCTCTGACCGGCGCCGCTCGGGCACCTGGCAGGCGCGCCCCGTGCGTGGTGGCCCCGCCGTACCGCGCCGTCGCCAGCTGGGCCAGCTCGGGCAGGCGGCCGGCGACCTCCCGTAGCAAGGTGTCCCGGCAGAGCTCGTTGAACGCGTTGGCTACGTCCAGGGAGAGCACTGCGGCGCCAGGTTCCTTTTCCAGCGTGGCCGCCACGACGCGGTGCATCAGTTCGATGCCGTTCTTGCGGCCCACGCCGAACTGGTGGTGCCCCACCGCTTCGGCGATGGCGTCCTTGTGTGCCGCCGTGGCCGCCTTGGCCGCCATCCTTCGCAACGTCTCGCCGCAGGCGAGCGGCCGGACGCCGCCTCCTGGCGTCAGCAGCGGCAGCAGTCGCCCAGCGAGAATGGCCGCCATGGCCTGCTCTGGCGCCCTGCCCTCGAGGATGAGGACGAGGACTTGCGTTAGCGCCTGCGTTCCTTCCTCGCGTCCGCGCAAGACCGCCCAGTGCTCGAAGCGGGCGCCTGAGAGGCCTGGGCCCGAGTGGCGCGGGTACTTCCCGAGGCTTGCCGTCGCCTGTTCGGCCGCCTCGGCTTCCCAGGGCGCCGCGGGCTGCGCCGAAAGGGGCGGCGGCTGGCGGGCGGCAGGCGCCTCTGGGAACAGGGCAGCAAAGTCACGAGCCACGTCCGGGCCCTGCGCAAGCTTGCCCGGCCCAGCGGCCGTTGGGGCTCTCTTGGGGTGGCCGTGGGGCCCTCTTGGGCCGTCTTGGGGCCCTCTTGGGCCGTCTGGGGACCCTCTTGGACTGTTTTCGGCCCCTTTAAGGGGCCTCTCGGGCCGCCTTGGTACTATATTTGGGGCCTCTTGGGCAGTCTTTGTCCCGTCTGGGGGTTCTCTTGGAGCGTTAGGGGCCCCTTTGGGGCGCCTCTGGGGCCGTTTTGGGACGATCTTTGGGGCCTCTTGGGCCGTCTGGGGCCCTTCTGGGACTGAAGAATTGAAACCCCGAACACCATTCAAGAAACCATTCACACCATCAATATTTTTGGACTCCCGATGCCCTCTCGGGGGCCTTCTTGATGGCCTCTGGAGCCGTCTCGAGACTCTCTTGGACCGTCTGGAGGCCATCTGAATCTCTCTTGAGGCCGTTTTGGCCTCTTGGGCCTTCTTGGGCCCTTGGGCCGCGTCACTCAAACAGATACAAGGAAACAGGCTATCCGCCGGGGAGCTGCTTCACTCAAGAAAAACGAGGCGCGATGGCAACTGGACTTTTGTTCCCCCGCTGGCACCCTCCCCCAAACCCCCTCCCTGTAAGGGCTTCGCCCCCTGCGGAACTTCTCTCGCTCGTACCTCGCTCTTGCCGTCATCCGCCGCCCCTTGTGGTCTTGCCACATGGGGTGCCTGGCGTGCTGCACCCTACCGCTTTTGGTGTTGCTTCTTTTCCAAAGGAGCTCTCCCTGGGGCTTCGGCCCGTCCTGTCGCTCCAAAGGTTTTTCCAGCTCCCGATGGTTCCAAGACGGCATCAGGCCTCCAAGTTAGCCCAAGATGGTCCAAGATGGACTCCAAGACGGTCCAGGCGAGTCCAAGATGCCTCGCAGTCCACCCAAGAAACCTCCAAGACGACCCGAGACGGCCCAAGAGACACCCCAAGATGGCCACAGAACGGCCCAAGAGGCCCCCAAGACGGCCCCAAGTGAGCCCCAAAACGGCGGCCCTGGAGCACCCCAAGAGGGCCGTAAGTCGGCTCAGAGAGGCCGCCAAGACGGCTTCCGACTGCTACAGACGGGCCAGGAGGCCATCAAGAAGGCAAACATAGCTCTAACCCCAATATGTATCCAAGACGGCCCAAGAGGCTCCCAAGCTCCAAAAGGCTCCCACGAAGCTTCCAGGAGGCCCCAAGAATGCCCCCAGAGGCTCCGAAGATGCCCTTCTTCCTCCTCCTCCTCCTCCTCCTCCTCCTCCTCCTCCTCCTCCTTACCCTCCTCTTGCTCCTCCTCCTCCTCCTCCTTCGCACATTCTTCGCTCAAGCACCGCTGAGTTTCCTGCAGCTCTCGCCTGGGAAAGTCAGGTACAGGACAAGGCGCAGTTAATCATTCAAGTAAGATGTGTATTTCGTCATGTCTCACACGCTTTCAGCTTCTCCTCCGGCGACGAAGACAAAATAGATGATGGATTAACTTAATCTGGCAGTGATGGTATGCGAGGAAAAATCCTCCTCCTCCTCCTCCTCCTCCTCCTCCTCCTCCTCCTCCTCCTCCTCCTCCTCCTCCTCCTCCTCCCCCTCTTCCTGATATCCCCGCCATCCTCCCCGAAGTGTTCCCCGACGGTTTTCTACACTGGTTAGGGAAGCCGATGGTCCGATAGCTTGGCAGAGCTCTTGCCAGAACGCTCGGCCACATGGGCGATACCAAAAGGCAGGGGGCGGCGGTGATTCGCCGTAGGCGTCTTCGATCCGCCGCCCTCTGCGGCTTGCCACAAGGGTGCACGGCATGCCAGATGTTAGATAGTGCTCGGGCGTTTGTAAAAATTCCCCTCCAAGACGGCCCTGAAGCACCCAAAGAGGGACCAGCGACTGCCGAGAGAAGGCCCAAAGACGACGCTCAAGAGGCCCTCAAGAGGCCCTAGGAGGCCCCAAGAAGCTCCAGGAGACCCCCAAAGAGGCCCATCAGAGGCGCCCAGGAGGTTCCCAGGAAGCCCCCAGAAGGCCCCATGAGGCCTCGAAAGGCGTCCTAGTCTTCCTCCTCCTCCTCCTCCTTCTCCTCCTCCTTCTCCTCCTCCTCCTCCTCATTATCATCCTCCTCCTCATCCTTCTCCTAGGCCTCCTTCTCCTCCCTCTCCTCCTCTTCTTGTCTCTTCTTCTCTCAAGTGTTCCCCCAAATGCTCAAAGGGTTCCACAACGGCTGGGGGAACACGCAGTCCAATAGCTTTGCCAGACTTCGACCCAATGTTTGGCCGCATGGGCGTTTCCAAAGGAACTGAGCGGCGGTGACTCGCCGTGGGCGCCTTCGATTCATGAATTGTTGGGGGCCAGGCTGGAGGAGCCTGGCCAATTCGGCCACACGCAGCGAGGAGGGAGAGAGAGAGAGAGAGAGACGGGAGCGGGAGGGCAGTCGAGGAGGGAAGGCGGCGGCTGCACGGGTGGAGCGGCGGCGGCGTGCGCGCTGTGTGTGCACTCCGTCGCACCGGGATCTAGCTCCGGAAAGTGATCACGTACGCCGGGTACGCTGCCTGTGGGTACTGGGTGATGAATATCTCAGGGTTCGACAGGTAGTCCACAGAGCTGTTGTACCTGTGGCGCCCCGACCGGATCGGCAAGAGGCCCTTGTGCTCTGGGTCGCCGAGGCAAGGCATGCCAGTCATGAGCAGACAGAGAAGGATCTGCCTGCTGCCGTCAGGCAAGACCCTGCAGAACCCCCCGTCGTAGACGTACTTGGCGTCCCGGGCGAAGTACGTTCCTGGGGGAACCAAGAAAACGATGCTGCTGCTTCCCGGACCTCTCTCGGGTTGCGTTCTGACCAGAATGTCGAAGCGAATCCGGCCGTGGCGACGAGAGCCTCCCAAGAGGCCCCCAAAGGCAAAACGAGGCAATGGGCGGCGGTATCGGTACCCTTTCCTCCTCTGAGCTCCAGGGCCCCACACGGTGCTGGCGCGGCTGCCGCCCAGCAGCGGCTGGAAGCCAGCCACTGGATCGCGCACGATCTCCTCGACTGCGCTGGAGCCGTGGAAGGCCCACCGCGTGTGCAGGCCGGGCCGGAAGGTCAGGCCCTGCTGCTCGAGGCCGCGCTGCATGGTCCTGGCGTACACCTCGCAGCCGTCGTCCTGGGGCGCGTTCTCGATGCGGTCTATTCTGGCGATCTCGACGTTCTGCCACATCCCGGGGTTCATGTCGTGGTATGCACGCGCCACCTTCGGCTGGGCCTTGAAGATCGCGCTCACCGCGTCCCACTCCTCGCAACCCGGAGGGACCTCGAATGCCACGCCCTCGCCGGCGCCCTGCGAGTCGCGGTCCCAGAGCCTGCGCAGGTCCGACATGGAGAATCCCAGCCAACGCTCGGCCTCTGAGCGCTCGTCAGACGTCATCTGCATCCACGACTGCATCAGCTGCATCTCGGGGCCCTCTCGGCACAGGGCCGCGTCGCAGAGGCGCGGGAGGCAGTCGTACAGCAGCAGGGACTCCATGTTGTGGAAGTCCCCCTGCCGCGTGAGCGTCCGGCCAGCCAGCAGCCCGCTGTTGTTGGTGTAGTACAGCAGGCACCTGTTCGGGTCGCCAGTCCTGATGACCGCCTCGAGGCGTTTGCGCGGCTGCGGGTACACCTCGTCGTTCGAGCCGTGCGCCAGCACCACGTTGGCGTCCTTGGGGAGCTCCGTCAGCGTGGGGTGCCGATTCAGTACGACGGTAGGACCAGTCCAATAACGGAGCTTCCACAGCACGGCCAGGTACGCACCGCCTTTGGAGCCCACCGCCAGGAGGTCGGGTTTGTACTCCCTGATCGTGTCCCTCAGCTTGTAGATGTGAGGGGCCATGTCGAAATTTGGCAGCTCGGGGTTCGGGACGTCGTGCAGGACCTTGGTCTGGAAGCCGGCGTCCCGAATCATGTTGAACTGGCGCTCGTTCACCTTGAGTCCGAAGCCCACGCCGATGATCAACACTTTCTGCTTGCGACGGTCGTATGCCGGAGGCTCTGGCAAGGAGCCCCCCAGAGCGGTCGGAGTGAAGTCGTCCCCCAGGATGGACACGTTGTGCAGGTCGGGGAGCATCACGCCCTTCTGCGGCACCCTCGACGGCGGCATTGCCGCCCTCGGGGTCGGGTCGTGGTTGTCCGCACGGTGCTCGGCATCGCCGTCCTTCCTGGTCGAGGGCAGCGAGCTGACGCCTCCTGCGTCAGTGGTGTTCGGGACTCCGCTCTGGCCCTTCGGGTCGGACCTGTCGAGGCCACCCGACTGGAGCGGCGGGCCGTGAAAGGTGCCCTCCCGAACCAGCTCGACCTGGCCCCCTGCCTGGAAGCGGGCAAACACCGCCTCCCACGCCGCGGCCACGCGCTCGTCCTCCAGCGTCTCGGCGGGGTCGTCCTCAACGCATTTCACCATGGTGCTAAAAAACTCCGGCTGGATGGTGCGGCGACCCACGCCGCTCTCGTTGCGGATGGTGACCGTGACGGACCCTGCGGGCACCTCGAACGTGGCGAGCGTGAGAGGCGCGTCCAGCACGCTCACAACCTCGCAGTCAGTCTCCCAGTCGCCCTTCACCGCGTCGAACACGTGCACCCTTTCCCCTGCCCTGATGGGTACGAATCAAGCGCGTCACGAGGCAAACACGGGTCCTGGACGCTGGGGCCTTCTCCCCCCGGACCAGGTCTTCGTCCTGAGTCCGTTTCTTCACGGTCCCGCCAGACGGCCCCCCGAACCCGAAAACAGACGAAAACCTCAGGACACGTTTTTCGCATCAAGGCCCCCTTTCTTCCTGGCGGCCTAAGCGGCCTCCTGCCGTGATACTTCACGAATCTCCGCTCGGCGGGGGGCGCCTGCTCTGCAACTCCGTCGCCCACCGGAGCCTCGGCAGACATCGGGCAGGGCGGCGCAGGCGCTGCAGCGGACGCCGGCGCCGCCGCGGCTGGCGGCAGGGGCGTTGGCGCCGCCGCGGCTGGCGGCGCGGGCGCCGGCGCCGACGGGATCAGCAGCGCGGGTGCGGGCGCCGCCGCGGCTGGCGGCAGGGGCGCAGGCGCCGCCGTGGCTGGCGGCGCGGGCGCGGGCTCGGAGGCCAGTGGCGACTCGGGCACCGTGGTGGGCGGCGGCGGCGGCTCGGCGGTAGGCGGGCTGGGCGCCTTGGCCTGCAGCGATGTGCCCAGCAGGGTGGGCCCCGGCGGGCACCGCTGTTGGGCCTGTGTCCTCCGCAGCTCCTGCGGGACGGCGTCCTCGCGGATGTTTGTTATTCTTCCCGTTTCCTCCTGGACTCTCCGCCTCTAAACCTCAGGCGGATCGGGCTCGCCTGGGCCTGCTGGCCCTGAGCCTTCAGGCCGCCTCTGACAACCTCCTCCTCCTCGTTTTCAAACCAGGCCGCCTCAAAACTCCTCCTCCTCCTCCTCCTCCTCCTCCTCCTCCTTCTCCTCCTCCTCCCTCCTCCTCCTCCTCCTCCTCCTCCTCCTCCTCCTCCTCCTCCTCCTCCTCCTCCTCCTCCTCCTCCTCCTCCTCCTCCTCCTCCTCCTCCTCCTCTCCTCCTCCTCCTCCTCCTCCTCCTCCTCCTCCTCCTCCTCCTCCTCCTCCTCCTCCTCCTCCTCCTCCTCCTCCTCTCGCCTCTTTATCTCCTGATGATGACGAGGAGGACGGGCGCTCCTTTTTCCTCGGCATGATGGCGCCCGCGATCCAGCTCGCGGGCGCGAGCTCTGCGGCTGGCGACCCTCGCCGCCGCTGGACCCCCCGCGAGAAGCCTCGCGGGGGGCGAAGACCGCGCCGACCGCTGCGCGGCAAGCGCGTGCGAGCCCCCTTGTGGGGCCCGCCGAGCAAACTCGGCTGGGGCCCCACCCCTCTGACGTGGGTGGGTGGGACCCCAAAAATATTCGCGGCTCCGCAGGAGCCTTGAGCAAACGGCGGCGGAGGAGGACAACACGAGAGGAGGCTACGAGGCGGGAGGAAACCCACTGTTCTCACGAACGATCACGTTTCCTCCTGGACTCTCCGCCTCTAAACCTCAGGCGGATCGGGCCCGCCTGGGCCTGCTGGCCCTGAGCCCTCAGGCCGCCTCTGACAAACCTCCTCCTCCTCGCCTTCAAACCAGGCCGCCTCGAAACTCCTCCTCCTCCTCCTCCTCCTCCTCCTCCTCCTCCTCCTCCTCCTCCTCCTCCTCCTCCTCCTCCTCCTTCTCGCCTCTTTATCTCCTGATGATGGCGAGGAGGACGGGCGCTCCTTTTTCCTCGGCATGATGGCGCCCGCGATCCAGCTCGTGGGCGCGAGCTCTGCGGCTGGCGACCCTCGCCGCCGCTGGGCCCCCCTCGTGCTCTTCTAGCGGCTCATCGCCGCCCCGTCCGGTGCCCCCCGCACCAGACCTCCTCCTTGCGCGCCACGGGGCCCGCCTCGAGGGCCCCCGCGCGCACTGGCGGGGGGGGCCTGGCCCCACGCGGCCCAGCACTCCTGGCTATGCCTGACGCCGCACTGCCAGCCTCAAGGCCCCCCTGCGCTCTCAGCTCAGGCCTGATCGGCCCCCGCGGCCCACGCGCTCTGAGCCTCAGACCAACGCGACGGCACAACCTCTCAGACCATCGCGATGTCAGTGGCCGCCATGCTGCTGGCAACCCCCTCTGCCATGCCGCGCGCCTCCCACAGGTATCCCTGGAAAGCGTCGCTGTTCCACCTGCCCCAGCGCTGCGCCAAAGCGGTGTCCTTGAACGCCGCGTGCAGCGCCGACGCTCCTCCGATCCTCAGACTGTGCGAGCCTAGGTCGTTCGGGTCCATGCCCTCCGCCACCGCCGACTGCATCACCACTCGCTGGACGTCAGCCCGCGTCACCAGGTGCACGTCGTCGAAAGCGAACAGGGGATCGTACATCTGCGCGCGCGAGAACCTCTCATTGGCCCAACCCGCATAGATCTCGAGCGCGTCCTCTGCGACCACAATGCGGAAGTGGTTGCGCCACTCGCCCCTGTTGTACTGATCGGTCTTGCTGGCCCGAATCTCGATGACGACCTCGTTCGCCTCGCCCCGCGCGCGAGTCGGCTCGCCGTTCGCCTTCGGGGCGACGTCAGCTCCCCGAAGACCATTGTTGCCCATATAGCCGTTCTGGTCGTTCGAGACGTACTCGCTGGCCCTCAAGAGGAAGAAGTAGCCCGTGGCCACTGCGGCCCACAGAGCCGCGCCCTCCCTCGACCTTTCTGGCTGCAGCTTCCGCCTAATCCACCTCATCATGCGGGGAGTGACCGGCTTCTTGCGCTTGGCGCCGCCGTCCCTCCTCCTGAGCCCGTCGATCGCCATCCAGAGCCTGCCCGCGCCCTCCGTGATGTCGCCCACGCCGAGTGCGAGGTGCTGGGCCCGGACCGAGCTCGGGTACTGCTTGATGGTGCCCGCCTTCTTGCAGCCTCGGCGCGCCAGGTGGATGACGAACTCTAACAACAGCTCCTACTCATTCCTCCTACTCTCAGGCGTGATCTCGCGAAGCGGGCTGATTCCCCTCGCGCGGCAGAAAAGAGTCCACCGCCTCCAGCCAATGCTGCGCGACTTGATCGTGGAGCTGGCCAGTTTATCGAGAATGAGCTCGAGTTTAGCTTTCTCCCAGTCCTCGCGCGTCTTGAGGTCCGTCAGAATGAGGTCCTCCGGGCGGGCGCTCGCTCGAACAGCTTCCGGTCCGAGGAGGTTGGGCGGCTTATTCTCGTACGGGCCGCGGACCTTTCTGCTGCCCTTCTTGCTCTTATGCGAGGTGGCCCCTGCTCTGCGGTCGTGCTCCTCGCCTGCGCCCATGGCTGCCAGGGCCCAGTCGAGCCACCCTCCCCTCTGCTCGGGGTAGCTCCACTTCCTCACCAGCGCCTCGAGCTCCTCCTCAGCCTCCGCCTGCTCGAGGCACCCGCTCCTGCGGTCGTCTCCTCCACTGCTGCCCCGCCTGCGGCCCCCGCCTCGGTCGCGACGGCGGCCCGAGCCCTGTATGGCCCCCCGTGTCATAGCTTCGAGGTGCGCACTCCTTTCTCACCAAGGCCCGCGCTGCTAGAGCTCCGCCTGTCCGCCAGGTAGCGCGCGACCGCCCGCGGGTCGATCTCAACGTCCTCACCGGGCAGCGGCGCGTAGACCGGGCGCTCCTCCGCCTCAACCGGCTGCGATGTGCGGAGCGGCGGTGAGCTCGGCGCCGATGGCCCAGGCGATAGGGAGCGCTCAGACCTGGGCGGTCTTCGGCTGAGGCCCTCCCGGGGCGTCCTCATCCTCTGCCTTGCCTCGTTCCTCCTGGCCATCTCCGCCGCGTCGTCCTCGTCGCGCTTGATCTGGATGGCCCGGGCCCTCAGTGCCGCCATCCTGGCCTCGCTGCTTGTGCCGGCATCGGCTTTCATCGACTCTGCCTGTAGCTCCGAGTCGACAGGGCTCGCAGCCTCATCATCGCCTCCCTCGTCCTCAGGGGTGGCACTGCGCCGAGGCGGGCTGCGGGAGACCGTTCTCTCCCTCGGTGACGGCGTCGGCAAGGGCTCCCTGACGCGGGCACTCGACACGCCTGCGCCCCGCGTAGGCCGAGGGGGCACTGAGCGAACCCTCCTTGCCGGGCTCGCTGGGCATCTCCTCTCCTCCGACGACCTAGACCGCTCCTGACCCTCGGGCGTGGCGGTTCCGCCGCGCCCTTCCTCCAGCACCTGCGGCCGCAGCTCCTGAGCCCGCGCTAGGGCGTGCGCTGCGTGGCCCAAGAGGCGGCGGTGCCCCTGGTTCGCCGCACTCTTCCCGATGGTGCGCCGGCCCTCCACGCGGTCAGCCAGCTCCTTGTGCCTGCGCCCTGCCGCCTCTGGGTCCGCTCCTCGGCCGCCCCCGCCGCCCGCCTCCTGCCTCGACGACGAAGCTGCAGCCGTCTTCGAGCCCTCATCCTCCGACTTCACTTCCTCTTTTACTTCAGTTGGCAGCATCCTCGCAACGAGCTTGATGCGTGGCTCGTTCTTGCGGGCCTCTGCCTCTGCGTTCCTCTTCCTCCTCCTGAGCTCACGTGGCGAGGGGGGTGGGCACTCAGGTGACGACTCCTCCTCTTCGACATCACCGTGGAGCGCTGCCAAGACCCTGGCCCGGCCCAAGGCCCCTCCTCGGGCCGGGGGGCCGTGCGACGGCTCGGCGGGCTCCTCCAGGGCGGATTTATGTTTCTTTTTCTTCTTCCTCTTGCGGCTCCCACCGCCTCCTCCACCTCCGTCTCCTGGCTGCTGCTCCTCTTCGCGGCCATGAGGCGCCTTCTCGCGGTACTTGTAATGCTTGATGCCTCCCTCGGCCCAGTCCTGCTCCCAGTGACGGCCGCCGCACTTGTCACAGCAGTAGCCTGGCTTTCATAGCCTCGCAGGGGCGCTGTGCTCCAGGTATGGGGCGCCCCGGGTTGAGGCACGGGGCCAGAGTCCTGACCGGCCTCCCTTCCTGGACGGGTGCCTGGGCGGGCCCCGCTCCTGCTGCGCCGGCCGCGCTGGCGCCCCCCGGGGCGGGGGCGTCTCGGCCCTGCGGGGCCCAGCCTCCCCACCGCTCGTCGTCGGAGACGGCCCCGGCGTGCCTGTCTGGCCCGCTCGGGGGGGTCGGATCGCCAAGCTGGGCGTCGCTGGGCAACGACCTGAGAGGCGGCGGCACCGCTCGGGCCGCTATTGCCGCCGCGCTCTCTGCCTCGGCTGCCCTCCGCGCCGCCAGCGCCCGATCCCGTGCCATCGAGATGGGGTAAACCCTATGGCACATCGGGCAACCCACATCTCGGCCCTCGCCTTGCACGCCGCAGTACTCGCACCACTCGTGCCGGGCGCTAGGGTCGCCTCCTGGGAAGGGTACTGGCGGGGGCTCGTCATCTCCCCAGATTCCCCCTCGCGACAGTAGGGGCGGCGACCTGCCGCGAGGAGGAGAGCGAGACGGCAACCTCACTCCCACC